CCTCCTTGTGCCTTGTGAGAATTTGTTTGTTTGTGTGTGTGTGTGTGTGTGTGTGTGTGTGTGTGTGTGTGTGTGTGTGTGTATGTGTATGTGTGTGTGTGTATAATGTCTATGTGAGTGTGAGCATGTTTATGCATGTGAATGCACACATGTGTTTGTGGGGCTTGTACTGGGCAAATTTGTACATGCATGTCTGTGCCATAGATCAGTGTGCCCATAAAGTAAGAGGCAAAGCTGGGCCCTCTGGACCACAGTGTCACTGTAGGGTAGGGCTGGGGTCACTGAGCATCCTACCATCTCTCTCTTCAATGGCACATTAGTAGCTTATTCTGTGAGTTCTTTATTGTCTTCACATGCTTCTGAAGCAGTGCTTGATACAAGAAGTCAGGAGATAGAGTCTTACTCCTGTGCCATCACTAGACAATCACAAGGCTAGTGACCTCTGGAGACCATGCCATCATGTAAGAGAGGTCAGCCTATGGTCCTTCCACTGGGTCCTTTCCCCTGTTGACCTCTCACAGCCTCTAGGGTAAGAGAGGCTCTAGTGCTACTGGTGTCATCCAGGTCCCTGCAGAAGAACCCCAGATAAGGGAAATCGACCTGAGGTTTCTCCTGTTGTTGCTCCAGTCTAAGGGCTTGTCTTTAAAATCTGTATGCAGCCACACCCTTTCATCTGGGATTGAAGCCCGAGCAGGTACTGTACCATGCTTGAAGCCTGAACTCAGCACCCACTATGGGAACAGCTCAGGCAGTTGGAGATAAGTTCAAGTGCTTTGCCCCAACAAAACATCCCATTTCTGTCCATTTCTATCTTCCCCACATAACCTTTGAGCCCAGAGGCCCTCATCCTTTGGTGTCCTCAACTCAACTCCCCTGCACTTCACCAGCCCTATTCTTAAGTACCCTCAGGTATGGGCCCTGCCCAGCCATGCTTGTGTGGAGGTACCATGATAATGTCGCTCACTAGTTCCTGGAGTGGAACAGTAGCTGATGCTGCCCCCATCAAGACCAGATCCTGAGGACAGCACTGAACTGATAGTGTCTCACCTCAGGATCATGTCTAAATTTCAAGGAGATTGCTAGAGTCTCGGGTGGGTGACCCTAGAACCTCCTTCCTGGCAGGTTCCTCTGTGGTGGTGATGTCTCCATGGGGCTGCCTTCCTGGGCTAGTGAATCAGCAGCCAGCAGCAAGAGCCTTGTCTGTGTGGTTCTTCCTGCTGTTTGCTCCATGGCCATTTTTCTGGGACCTCCCAGGGAGCTGGGAGCTGAGAGAGACCAAATGTCCATCAGTCCTGGTGACCATGGTCAGCTTGTCAATGTGGTAAGGCATTAGAATGTGTCATTGCCCTACACCACCATCCCTCCAGAAAAGCAGCCTTGGGGTCTGGGGGCCACTTTTCTGCATCTTTGCATTCCAATGAATGGCTTCTGTGGCGAGCTCAGCCAGCCGCAGATCCGGACCTCCGCAGTGTAGGGCTGGGCTGCTGGGCACAAAGGGGCACTCTGCAGGAGTGGTGAATAATGGCCCGCCCTTTCATCGGGAGGCTAACCTTTTGGCAGCCACCAGCAGACTGCATTCTACTGTGCTGATTGGGGAGGACAATGCTGTACTGGCCTTTGAATGGACACCGCCACCAACAGCGCTGTATTCACAGCCGCAGCACTGGGAACCGTGCGAGCATTGTCTGCAGGCCCCACTGAGCTGCAGGAGACAGTGAGGAGGCTGGGATAGGGAGGCTGGCTTCTTTGGTTTAATCTCCCTGTCCAGCCTGCCTGTAGGTCCCTGTCTTCGACTGAGAAGTGGGGGCATCCGACCCAGGGATAGACAGTATCACACCCCTGTCTGAGAAAGGGGAGGAAAGATGGTGTGAAAACCAAGAGGCGCCAGTATGCCATAATTTCCTCCAAATCGAAGATTATTCTAAAATAAATTATAAAGAAACAAGTCCAAGAGCCAAGGCTGACTTAGTTCTCAGGAACCTCAGCTGTGAGTGCCATGCCTGCCTGCACTAGAACCATTGCATGCAAAGACACTTGTGTCCCTGAGACACCAGTGAGGAACTGGCCTCTCACTCCAGCATAAGCAGCTACAATTGCTTCCTTCACAGTCTCTCTTTTTCTTTGCAGATTTGTTTGGGGTTTTGCCTTCCTTCCTTCTTTTCCTTCCTTCTTTTTTGTTTTTTGATGAAGGAACTTACTCTGTAGCCCAGACTAGCCTAGAACTCACAATTCTCCTGCCTCAGTTGCCTGAATACTGGTATTGCTTTCATGAGCCATCAGGCCTGGCCAGCCAAGACTTCTTGTGTAAGATAATATGTCTATGTTTGTGTGACTTGTGAGTTTTTAGCCTTAAATATCTAGTTATGAAAAAAATGTAAATATTTTAGATTTATTTATTTTATTATTTTATGTGTATATGTATATACCACATAGGCCTGGTATTGGATCTCCTGGGACTGTGAGCTGCCATATGGATTCTGGGAATCAAACCCGGGTGCAACAAGTATTCTTAACCACTGAGCCTGCTCTATAGCCCAAAGTTTGTGTGTGTGTGTGTGTGTGTGTGTGTGTGTGTGTGTGTGTGTGTGTGTTGTGGTGGTGGTGGTGGGGTGTATATGTATGTATATATGTGTGTGTGTGTGTATGTTTGTATGTAGAATTTTGTTTTGTTCTGAGACAGCATCTTACAATGTAGCCCTAGCTGCCTGGAACTTGCTCTATAGACCAGGCTGGCCTTGAACATACAGTGATCTGCCTACCTCTGCCATCTTCGTACTTGGATTAAAGACGTGTACTACCACACCCTGTTATGAAAGAGTTTAAAAGAAAACCCATAGGTGCTGAAGAGCAGACTCTGAGAAGTTTAGGCAGGTTCAGAGGCCCAGGAAGTTGAAGGCATCTGTGTTAGGGCCTGGGGATGCTGGGATGTCAAAGGCCTCCACCCTCTGTGGCTCCAGGGGGTGCCTGCACTGGTCACCGCTGTGATACTCTTCTTGACACAAGGTTAGCCCTTTGGGGGTATCTAGGGTGACTAAACCAGGACCCTGAGGCAGCAACTGTGAGCATGCCCTGAAACCTTCCTGAGTGCTCAGCCCATGAAATGAGATTTTTTTTTTCTGCCCAGTGACAGGAGCCTTCAGTGTCCCCTTTGAAATGTGGCCTGGCTAGTTCAACAGAGACATTTTTACATTACAACTGTGAAACCCTGGCATAAAGCACCCCTCTGTCCCCCCATTATTTTCTCACAAACACAGTCCATTGTCACAGTGCTGAAGTTAATTTGATCAACATTGGGACATTTAACTTTTATGTCCAGTGAAAAGAGTTGTTTCATGCTCATTTTAGGCATTCAAAGGAAATGATTGCCAGAAAAATAATGTTCCTTGGGACAATCCGGAGCAATTAGTTTCCCAGGGAGAGGCTATGTGACGCCGGCTGCCACACAGCCCCTCTTTGTCGCTTTATGGATGGTCATCCGTCAGCTGTCAGGCTGCTCAAAGACCCCTCCAATCTAAATGTTTCTCTTTAGGCCGTTCCCAGAACTCGCCTTGCTGTTCAGTGAGCAGAAGAAAAGCACTGCGTCTCTAGGCAAAGGCGAGCTCCCTGCTAAGGATCTAGGTCATTCCGGAATGCTCTGGTGGGGCTGGCACAGAGCTGTTTCTTGCACCTCATTTGCTGCCCGCTGCCCTGGAGAAAAAGTGCAGGTGTCTCTGTGGGCTGTGCCTACAGCCCAAGTTTTGGAAGCCTCAGGCTACCCACTGCCTGGAGCTCACCCTGCACAGCACAGAATTCCCATAGGAGCCCACAGACTTGCTATGTGTGTCATCAGCCTGAAACTCCAAGGCCCGTGCCAGCATTGCCATGGATTCCATTGAAAGCATGGTAGCCAGGACATGTCAAGTCCAGTTACAGTTGAGCAAGATGAGTCGGTAAGGGCCAGTGTCTCAGATGATTGATGAAATTTGCAGTATGTTCTTTATTTTACTAAAAATAGATCTAGGTGTCCAAATGCTTGTAGAAGGCTATGATGAGGAAAATTACACACCTCTACTCAATGGTTGACATGTGTAACCTTTCTTCTCTTTTCTGAAGAAATAAAACAGTAAGGTGCTGCTGGTACCCTGTGTCTGTGTCTTGAGCCTCTGTGGCTGCACAGTACCACCTGGATTCAGTGTCTGGGTTTCTTTGCATGCTTCTATGCTTTTTCTCATAAGTTGTGCATCTCTTTCTTTTCCATGCCTCAGGTTTAGATCGTCACATGTGTATAGTTCTCTGTGTGTGTGTTCTGTGCATGTGAATATCCACAGCAATGCTTGGAGAGTGCTGTGAATGGCTTCCTGCTGCTCATCCTCCATCTGCAGGATGTTTGTGCTCTGGTGGCTTCATATCAACTGCTCCTTGATGGATCCCCACCATACTCTTGTGGAGACTCCCTTTAGAGGGTCTCAGTATTTTACCAAACATGCCTCCCCCACCTATCCACTTCTAACTAGTCTTGGGGAGGCAGCACGATTTTTATTTCCCTGGAGCTGGTGAAACTGAGCGTTGCTTTGAGTGCTTATGGGCATCTGAGGCTTAAGGGCTGCTCCATTTCTAGAGATCTCAGCTGTGGTTTTTCCTGCTAGATTCCTAAGAAATAAAGCATTCATAGGAGGCTAAGGTTCTTCCATGTAGCCCGGTGGGGTTTTATAATCAGTGGAGTTGTCTCAATGTGAGGAGAGGAAGTAGTACATTCAATATCTAGATCTTATGCTTAGAAAACAAATGGGGCTGGGCGGTGGTGGCGCACGCCTTTAATCCCAGCACTTGGGAGGTAGAGCCAGGTGGATCTCTGTGAGTTCGAGGCCAGCCTGGGCTACCAAGTGAGTTCCAGGAAAGGCGCAAAGCTACACAGAGAAACCCTGTCTCGAAAAACCAAAACAAACAAACAAACAAAAAAAAAACCAAAAACAAACAAACAAAAAAAACAAATGGGAATGGTGACTGATAGAGAGAGAAAAGCAGCTATTTACCCAGAAGGTGTGGATTAGAGCCATGCAGCCCTCATGCTAGGGGTACACAGTGGGACAGAGTTCCCCCGGCAGAGTGGAACATGTATCATCAAGGAGCCTGACTTTTGCAAGATTGGGAAAGATCAATGTGGCTATGGCCCACAATGCCCCTAGCACATAGTGAATACCCAGCACATTGCCATTGGGAGAGGGAACCAATTACTATTCAGAGGAAAAATCCCAATCTCTAAAAATTCCACCAATAATTTCAGTCTTTACTGGAGCACTGTGAAAGTAGGTAAAGTCAAAGTTACAAGGAGCCTTGGCCAGTAACTTACAGAGTCTAGATATGTCCCAAGTCTTCCATGCCTGTCCTGCTGTCCTTTTGTCCATAGTTGGTGCCCTAGGGATGGATACTGTCCCAGGGAGTGCTGGATGCTACAGCAGAAGGCTTCAGACAAGAGACTTGACTGAGATTCATTTCTTGCAATTCTGGAGGCTGAAGTTCAAGCTAAGGGCAGCAAGCCAGGCTCTAAAACTGGCTTATGGACACTGTGTCCTTACATGATAGAAAGCCAACAACTCTGGGGATTCTTCCCTTCGTGTCAGGTCCCCTCTGACCTTGTTAACCTCCATGACCTCTTTAAAGACCCCTTTTCCAATGCAGTGACCCTTGGTCATTCCCTAGAAGGAGCTCATGTACCAAGCTTGGACCATTAGCCTGCTAAGGCAGGGTCTGCTATTCAGGCGGGGAGCAGCAGTTCCCATAGGCCAAGGTGGGGCAGGTGCTCACTTACCAGAACCAATTGGCTCAGGTTGTCAGTGTTCTGCTGCATGAAGCTGTCCTATATGGTGCTGGGAGCAGGAGCCTCAGAGTGCCCTGGGTTTAATGGCAGCTGCTGGAGGAATAGGATGGGGTGGTAAGGTTAGGAAAGGTGTCTGTGCGGCAGGGCATTATGCTTGGGATCAGTGGAGTAGTTAGGAAGAGGAATGTGGTCGTTACTAGGACTAGATCCTAAGAGCCACCTCAAGTCATGTCGGGTGTTCTGTGCTCCTACTACTTCTGGGTTTTTGTTGTTTGCCTCTGAAGTGTTAACTCTCTCATATTTCAGGCAGACCCTCTGAACTGAGGGTCCCCAGGGCTTCAGGCCTCATGGAGCTATATAGATCTTGTCCCCAGCAGCACCTTCCCGGGGGCTTAGGTGAGGAATGAGAACCTGGGAAGTTTCAGGCTAGTTGTGCATTTATTTTGTTGGCTGAATTTACTTTTGTGACTAGATAACTTATGATGAAGAGACACTTTTAGGAAATTAAATTATCCTCAAATATTTTGGGTAATTTAGCCATTTTATATTATCAGTATTTGAGCTACTTAATATTTGTTCAATAAACATGGTCTCTCCCATAGCTGAGGATAGAACCAACCTTAGTTGATCTCTAAGTTTATGTAGACTCCACAGTTAAGTAAAAATATAATGCCAAAAGATTTAACATCCCAACCATTGGTTGAAGAGTAAAAAGGGAAGCAAGCCAAGTTATCAGTGTGTTAGAAGCACTTCAGGGGGTGGCACTGACGAGTCATGACAAATCCACCTTTCAGACCTTTGCAGCTCCTTGGGGGCATCTCTAACGGCCTTTGGGATGTTGCATGGGTGCCCTCTGCAGCCTCAATGACCATGGGACCCTCAGTGGGTCCAAGGCACCCCAGGGTTCCTGTGGCACAGAAGTGACTGCAGCTGAAAGGGTGACTTTTCACTGTGACTTCCTCCAGAAATCCAGAGCCCATTGCATTATGGGAGGTAATGTCCTCAGATGGGGAACAGGCCCTGGCCAGATAGAAAAAAGTCACCCTTCCCCCAGTAGGGCTGTCACATCCTGGAATCACCTGTCAAACAAGAGACACCATTTCCAGGCCTAAAAAATTGATTTTTATGGCTCTTCTTGTAATTCTCTTTCTGAATAAGGCACATGATATTGATGTGGGCCTCCTTTTTAATCATAATAGCCACTGACAAGGTAATTAATTTTAAAACAACTCTTTTTTTTCTGGTCCAAATGGCACTATGTAGAAATTAAAAGTGAGTGCCGTGAGGGCCGCCGGCCTGGCACTCAGGCGATTGCCTCGGCCATGACAGCCCCTTTATCTTGCTGCTTCTGTGCGACCTTCAGCGATGGGCGTTGTTATTAATTGGCTTGGGCTATTATATCAAAAAGAGCAGGGCAGGAAAGCATGATAAAGTTTAGGTTTTTAATGATAGTCTTACAGGAATCAAGACATGCCAGTGAAATTGCCTTCCTGGGTCATCACAGGCCCAGCATGGGGCACAGCCAGGACCCATCAACACCTCTCTTGGGAGGAATGGCCCAAATGCAGCATTCTCACACAAAGCACACAGGCATCTAAAGTTAGTACACTCAGCCTCAATCTGAAATAATTTACCATAACATGGATTCTGCCATTTGATTAGTCAGGTAGGTGTATGCTACTGGTTCTAAGACCACGCCTTTATGTTGCTTTCTAGGCCTTTGTTTTCATCGCCTCAAAACTTAGTGCAGTCCATTGTGTTTGATGCTCACACTAGTTGATGAGACAGAAAAAGACCTGGCTTCCACTGTTCCACACATGAGCCTGTAGATTCACTTGCCCACATAGACACACCTTAGCGTCTTGTGAACTCACTTCCTCCTGTGGTGCTCTTATGCTGAGCTCAACTTGGGCTTATTCCACATTCTCTGGCCTGTGGGTGCCATTAGACTCCCAAGATGCCTCAGCATAACCTCTGGGCAGCTGTGAACACCTGCTAAATGGTTTCTGACCACAGGAAAAGCCTAAGTGCCCTTTCCCAACTCAGAGCTTGAGGTGGTTGTGCACATCGATCTAGAAGAGATAGAACCCTTGAAAGTGAAGATGTAGTCAAATATATTTGGCTCAAGAAATCAGTACTGATGAATGCAAGTTAACTCTCCTGCATGCTTTGCTCATGAATCCTTCAAAGCCCTCCCTCTCTGTAGAGGTAGATTCTTGCTATGAAACTGGATGGACATGTCTGCAACCTGTACACATAAACAACCAGTGATGTGTCTGTGATATGTACAATAGCACATGCCTGAGTGGGACAAGACTTCTGAAGTATGTATGTCATTCGTGTGTGTGTGTGTGTGTGTGTGTGTAGGCATTCATGACAATGAAAAGTTCAGATCATCTGTAATGTTCATTCCCATTAAGAGAAGTGGAAGTGGGGGGTAGTGGGAGAGGAAACTGTGGTTGGTATGTAAAATGAAAAAATAAATAAATAAATTTAAAAAAACGCATGTGTAAGTAGCCAGGCAGTAGTGGCCCACACCTTTAATCCCAGCACTCAGGAGGCAGAGGCAGGTGGATCTCTGAGTTTGAAGCTAGCCTGGTCTATAGAGTGAGTTCCAAGATAGCCAGGAATACAACACAGCGAAAACTCTGTCTCAAAAAGACAAAAACAAAAAAGAAAGAAAAGAGAGGTGGAGAAGTGTAAGTAAAGGAAGCATGGTGTGTGTCTGTAACTCCTGCACTTGGGAGGCAGAGACAGGTGTTCTAGGCCAAGCTATTCTTTATAACAAGACTCCCCAAACTAGAAAACAATCAGCAACAGAAAAAACACTAGTAAACTTCATTCACCCAGGAGTCTTTATTGTTATTGATGTTGGATTTCCTAAGGTACACGAGTATTCCGCATTGAGCATGTGGAGGACATGGAGTCAGTTCTCTCCTTTCACTTTTATGTGGGTCCCAAGTATCATACTCGGGTCTCCAGGCTTGTACAGCAAGCACCCTCACCCCCTGAGCCATCTCACCACCTCTGTTCTGTGCGTTCTCATGGGAGATATTTGGGCTTAAAGATCAGATAGTAAATGTTCAGACATACAAAGGGTTTCTGTCCAGGATGTGATAGCATTGTTCTTTCAGCCATCCCTGCAGCTACACAAGCTGGAGGTTTGCTCCAGTTTGGTTTTCCTCTAAAATACAGAGTTGGGAAAAAGAGGAAAGACAAGAAGGAAGAGTAGAGGCAGGAGGAGATGCATGTATATGGCTCAGTGCCATAGGCACAGCACTCTCTTGGAAGAGAGGCCCAGGCCCATCTTCAAAGAACCCATCACTGTGTCCAGGCCATGGGAGTCTCACAGCTGTACTGGCCCCAAGCTGCCTGCTTCAAGTGTCTGACCCCATCCATCCCCCAAGAGGAGGGCAGGCTGGCCCTGCACAGTCAGGGAGGATGGTCTACGGCTCCAAAAAGGAAAGTGAGATGTTGGAAACCAGTTGGACTGTGGAGATAGAGCAGGTTACAAGCCAGGCAACAACCTTGTGAGTGTAGGGGAGAATGAGGCAAGAAGGGCAAGGGGTGGGCAGCAGACCTCTGGTTCCTACATATGGTCAGAATGGTTCTCCACTTTCTCTAGACTCCTAGTAGAACTTGGTACCCATTACACAGCACCTATGTGTCCCTGCTAGAAGCACTGGTGTCCTCACCAGTTACATCCTTTCTCACACCCTAAGCCAGCATCGTGATATGAATTAGTGGTTTTGTTGTTGTTTTGTGTCTTCTTAAATATTTTTATTTCATACATCTGTCCCCTACAGTCCCTTCCTCCAACCCCTACCATATCCCTTCCCCCCTTCGTCTTCATGTCCTTTACAAAATATAACTCCCTAAGTCCAGTTAGTGCTGCCTGCATGCACGTGGGTGTGGGGTCACCCACTGCAGCATGGGCACCCTGTCAGAGGCCACACTTCTAAGAAAATTGACTCTCCCTTCCCACCAGCTATCAGCTACCAGTGGCTCTTTAGCTAGGTGTGGTAGCGCCATCTCCATCTGCACTGAACTGTTGGACAGCTTAATCTTGTGCTGGTTTCCCAGCCGTTGTGAGTTCCTGAGTGTAACAGGTATGTCATGTCCAGAAGACGGAATTTTACAGCACTGTTCCCCGTCCTCCAGATCTTAATTCTTTCCAGCTTCCCTTCTATACTGTTCCCAAGCTTTGATGGGCAGGGGTGGTGTTGGTGTTGATAAAGATGTTCCGTTTAAGGCTGAGCACTCAACGGTTACTTATCCTCAGCTCTTGGACTAGCCTTGAGTCTCTGTGTTAATCACTGCCCACTGTAGAAAGTCTCTGACCAAGGTTGAGAGCAGCACAGTCTATGGGTATAAATATATCTAATTAGAAGGCAGTTTGATAACATGGACATTTAGCAAAACAACAGTAGAAGGTTCCCCTAGGGCTTAAGACCTCCTCAGCCTTGGACTTTTCACCAGGTTTACAGCATCAGTCGTGAATTTCCCCTGTAGAGCAGCCTCAGATCCCATCAGAAACTAGTTGTTCATGGGCTAGTTATAAGGGGAAAAGTTGATTATTCCCAGAATAGTCATGCCACTATTACACCCCTGGGCATCTCTTGCCGGTGTAATAATAGCATTTTGTATTGTAGCAATTCAGGATCCAGCACTGGATAAGACCATACTGTCTTTTATCCCCCAGCAACCTGCATATACCTTCGGGGCACTGTAAAACATGGTAGATTTTCCTGGTCCTTTGCAGATTGATTTCTCTATGTCCTACAACAGTGGTTCTCAATCTTCCTAATGCTGCAACTCTTTAATGCAGTTCCTCATGTTGTGGTGACTCCCAGCCATACAGTTGTTTTTGTTGGTACTTCATAACTGTAGTTTTGCTACTGTTATGAATTATAATGTAAATGTCTGTGGTTTCTGATGGTCTTAAGTGACCCATGTGAAAGGGTTGTTCGACCTTCAAAGGGTTCACAACTCACAGGTTGAGAACCACTGTCCTGTAACCAAAGTGCAACACTCAGTCTTACCATGTAGTTAAGGTGGACGACCAAGAGCAGAGATAATAATCTGTATTGTTTGGGGGGGCCTCTGGAGTCTCTCTGATGAGTAAGTTATTATGGTGATATTTTATTTGTATTAAAATGTTATTTGTATGTTAATAAATAAAGTTGCCCGGGGGTCAGAGCTATTAGCAAGCCATAGGAAAGCAGGGCAGTGGTGGCGTACTCTTGTAATCCCAGCACTTGGTAGGCAGAGCTGGGTAAGTCTCTGTGTGTTCAGGGATACAGCCAGTATTGGATACACATGCCTTTAATCTCAATACCAATCATGGAAAACCTGGAGGCCTATACAGACAGGCCGTGAGGAAGCGGTCATGTGGTTGGGTTTACAACCAATGAGAAGGCAGGACAGGAACTCTATATAAAGACTTTAACACAGGGGTAGCTCTGGTTCGGAGAGGTAGGACCACCGCAGGAGGAAGGGTAAGGTTTTAGCTCTTAGCTCTGACCTCTTGGCTTTCTTCTTTGCATTGGTTCTGTGTTTCTTATTTAATAAGAAGGTTGGTTACATCTACAAGTTATAGAGCAGTATCCTATGCTTAGCACTGAGATTTTCATTTAATGGTTCATGTTTTCTTGGAGCACCGTTGTCCATCTGTTAGGGTACCACTATTTAAACTTCTTTTTAAGTTATTATTATATTTTTAAATTAGCTTACAAAGCAGTGAGTTTCTACTTTGGGTTAGCCTACCCCCTCCTCTACATCACTGCTCTCCATCCTCCATCAAACCTTTAATTCCTAGTATTCTCTCCCTCTCTTGGAATATCACTTGTGTTTGCTGTCTCTTCTCCTTGTTCTTCCTGCTGAGAGACAAACAGGGTCCTGTTGGGATGGGTCCCACTCCCCTCACTACTCCAGGCAGTGCTGGCACCCACTGGGTGAGCAGGAAGAAGAAGGGCAGAAGGGGCAAAGCTGAGCACAGCCTGTGACCCAACCAGACTCAGACCTTGCTGCTGTGAAAGGGCTTCACTCCTCAGCCACCTTCCCTCACAGAAACCCTTTTAAAAGTAGATAAGCTGCCGGCCATTTGCGTTGCTGTTAAGATGCAACTTTCTCTGTAAATTAATATTTAAATTAAATGCAATTCCAACTAGAGGGAAGACAGATTTTTTTGTGGAATTTGGCCGGAGGATACAGCAAATTTTACATAAGAGGAATATGAAAAAACTAAAGGAATTTTTAAAAGAATGTCAATAAAACTTTGTTATTAAAAGTCATATGAATCAAAGGTATATAGGAATAGATGTTTATTTTTAAATCTATGGAAAAGAGTAGGTAGTCTCCCACTGTTTTCCTAGGCTGACCCGTGTGCTCTGTGATGTGAGGCAGCTTGCACAGGAAGTGGTGGACTATTTAATGACAGACCAGTCAGCCTTGTAGGAAAGTCAGAGCAGAAACTGTACTTTTCAGACCATCCCACACAGCACTGGGAAAGACACAGCACAGGGAGCCTGGTTCAAGCTGTGCGAGTGGAAAGGAAGGAGCAGGCCACAAGAGGGAAGCTCACAGCGATAGCCAAGCACAGGGCCCCACAAACATAAAAACGAAAGAGCAGAGTCCAGTTTCAGTAGAGAAGACTTCTTCCCAGTCTGGGCCAGTAGGCAGAGTTCTCCAGTCCCTCAGGATGCCTGGCCCACAGAACTCTCCACATTCCTCTCCAGGGTAACTGATTTCCTCTCGGTGACTATTCTGTCAGCCCAGGGTTTGGACATCCTTTATACTTTCACTGGGTAAGCAGTGTAGCCCAAGCCATAACAATTCTACATAGGAGACGGTCCTTCCTAATGAGCAGGTGCTTCATTGGCTGCCTCTTTCCAGGTTTCCTTTGCAACCTGAGTTCAGCTCTAGGTACCTGACCCCACCCCAAGGCTACCCTCCCTGGTGGTAGTCATTGATGCTGACAGCAGCACATCTGTAACAGGGTAGCAATAACCAGGCCACAGCAAGACACATTGGGCTTCCTGGTAGCCACTGACACTTGAGTCAATGTGACTGAGAAAGTCTGTCTGATTTCTGCCCAATAATCAAGTTTCTCCCCTTCCCCTTCTTTCTCTTCCTCTTCTTCCTCCTCTTCTTCCTTCTCCCCACTCCTCCTCCTCTTCTCTTTCATGTGTGTTGTGTGTATCACATGTTTATGTGGTGCATGGATGTGACTGTGAGCACACATGTTGAAGGCAGAGCAAGGTGTTGAGTGTCTTCCTCTGTCTTTGTCTACCTTAATGCCTGGAGACAGAGTTTCTCCTCAACTGGAAGTTGGTCATTTAGGCATGGCTGGCTGGCCAGGGAGCAAGCTCTCAGGGTGTATCTGTCTGTCTTTACCCGCTCCATCTCAACAAAATGCTGGATTATAAGCACACACAGCCGCATGGGGCTTTTTAAGTGGATGCTGGGGATTCAAACTCAGTCCATCATGTTTGTGGAGCAAGCAAGTGAGCCATCTCCACAGTCCATCCAGTTTACTTTATTTTAAACATGAGCCTGTCTCTTTTCTACCTTGGACCTTGTCACAGCAGGTAGCATAGATAAGGGTGGAGTGGCCAGTGAATTCTGGAATAACTACTGCTGTCCTCTGCCTCTGAACAGAAGGCACACTTTTGTTCTCCTGGTGTCTGGTTAGCAAAGCTGTGCTGTAAGTGACCCTCGCTTCACTTTCAAATCAGAAACAAGGACCACTTACCCTGCCTCAGGAGCAGGAGAGCTGCCCCACATGGCAGTTGAGAAACTCGGCTCCTCTGTAAGGGAAGCTGCTATGTGTCCGTCTGCCAAATGTTTGTGTGTTTATATCTCAATGGAAAAAATTCTTCATAAAGTGCTTGTGATTGGTAGAGAATTTGTAGAGAAGGCCTTCAGCAAAGCAGCATGGGCTAGCCCGTGTATTATTACAGGTGTTCCCCATTGTGACTTGGAAGCATCTGGGTGGAATGTGATTGCAGAGTAAGAATGAGCTCATGCTGTAAAAGGAGGGTAACTGTGGGCAGCTGAGGCAGTGGCCTGCTGTGGGCACAGAGTCCCACATGCAGACATAAGCATACCTGTTTCCAAGGACAAGCTCTCCACTTCCTTCCTTCTGAATGCTCTTCTCACACAAGTGTCTGTCTAGTCCTGCTTGCACTGCTGATTTCCACATCCTCCTGGCCAGCCAATGAGGACAGTTGAGTGCTGTTTGTTGCAGTGTGCTTGATGGTAGCCTTTGCACTAGATTTAGGAGTGCAAGAAACAATCACCATAATGTCTTTATAGCAGGAAGCATTTGGGGAGCATGGAGGAGCAGCTGGCCCAGGCCGGTTAGGCTGGCCAGCATTGCAGCATCAGGTGACCACTGTCTCTTTTTCTCTTCCCAGAATCATCGACCAGCGATTTGAGAAAGTTTCCTACTTTGTCTTTGGTGATTTCAACTTCCGCCTGGATTCCAAATCTGTTGTAGAGGTAGGTAAGCATGGGTTGCCTCCTCAGTCTGGGCATTGAGTTCCCTTGTGGCAGAACCAATTGTGGCAGAGAAATGCTATCTGTTTAGGCCACTTCCATGTCAGCATTTTCATAGTTTATGGTTTTTTGTTTTTTAAGTAAGTTTTTGCTGGGTGGGGAGAGAGGGGTCTGTGCAGCTGTTCAGCCAGTCAGCCATTACTGGCTTTAAGAATAGGCCTCCTGGCCGGGCAGTGGTGGCGCACGCCTTTAATCCCAGCACTCGGAAGGCAGAGGCAGGTGGATCTCTGTGAGTTCAAGGACAGCCTGGTCTACAACTCTGGTTTCAGGACAGCCAGGGCTAAACAGAGGAACCCTGTCTTGAAACACCAATCAGAATAGGCGTCCCTGCATCCTGCAGGCTCAGTGTCCCTTATAGAAAAAAGCCTGGGGAACCCACTGTGTGTTGCTGCTCAATACCTGCAGAGCTGGAGATCGCTGAGCTCTGGGCTGTTTCCCCCTGGGATTTCCACTGCTTAATCCTCATCAAACACCAGGAAACTGGTTGTTCTTCTTGATTTAATCAATTGAGGCTCTCTTGGTTTGGGGAACTCTAAAGCTATGCTGACTACTATGGGAACTCTAGGCTGGGTGCCAGGGTCCTGGAATCCCTAGAGTGACTGCAGCTGGCAAACTTTGGCACCAAGACAAGTGATGTGACCACTGAGGTTGGAAGGAAACTATGTGGCTAGGATGTGCTGCCAAGGGAAGCAAGTCCTATGATGTTGGCTTAAGGGCTAGATTTCTCTGTAGTGAGGTCCATGCCTGTCACCAGATGTGTGCTGGCATCCTGAGCCAGGGACAGGTAACTGAGTGTCTGGCTTCTTCCTGCCATTCTCTCTGGTTCTAATATGATTAGGATGTACTACCTTCTCTGGTGACAGAAAACTGGAGGTGCAAAAAGTGAGACACTTACCCCTTCCACCTTCCATACCACCCTGCCTGGGATCTTTCAAGCATGTGGCAACACTACGTAATCTGCATGCAGGGGCCAAGTAAGAACAGCATGAAGTCACGCAGTGCTTCACATTACTATCTTTGCATTAGTAGTCTTAGTTCCAAATCTTGTCACACATTAATCTTCCATCCTCAGTAGAAAATTATTTTTTAAAGACAGAGCTGAGCGGGTGTCTCCTTTTGGTTGATAGAAATGAGTGATGTGCCGTTAAAATCCTTCTGTATTTAATTAAGCTGCAGGTACCTCATCAGGGCAGGCCCACAGGGTACATTTTGAACTTTGTAGTACAAGGGGTCTCTCTAGATTCCCAGTAGGTGCAGGGGTCTCCCCTGGATTTTCAGTGGGTAGTGGGAAGGGGGATCCTGGGTGTTCAATGACTCCTGGTAGCAGTACATCATTTTTTCTTTTATTCTTCTCTCGTACATTACATCCTGACTGCATTTCTCTCCTCCTCCACTCTTCCCAGTCCCCTCTCCCCCCAAAACCTCTGCTCTCCCCCTGATCCACTCCTCCTTTATTTCCCTTTAGAGAAAGAGCAGGTCTCTGAGGGATACCAACCAAATACAGGGCTATATCAAGCATAGCCAGTTACAATAAAACCAGGCACAAACCTTCATATCCAGGCTGGACAAGGCAACCCATTAGGAGGAAAAGGGTCCCAAGAGCAGGCAAAAGAGTCAGAGACATCCCTCACTCCTACTGTTAGGAGTGCCACAAGAACACCGAGCTACACAACCATAACAAATATGCAGAGGACCTAGCTCAGACCCATACAGGGTCCATGACTGTCATTTCAGTCTCCTTGAAGTAGCAGTGTATCTAAACCCAGCCATGGAGGAAGGAATACCGAGGAGCAGATGCAGTTTCTAAAACAGTCATATTAAAGACTCATTCCCCATACCTCCACTTTCTTGTTCCCAAGCTTCTGAGCTGAGTTGCCAGCTTGCTGCTGGAGGCCAGCAATTCTGCTGCACACAGTGGTTTCCCTGCCTCCCCAGAGGCTTCCACTTGGAGCAGAGTGGCCATTGTGAAAGTAAAGGACTCTTAGAAGGCCAAAGCTGGTCAACCTAGAGCTGTCTGTGGTTGGGAAAAGGTCAGAGAATCTTTTTCACAATAGACTTTTCTTTCTGTGTGGAACACAGGCTATAAGAAAAAGAAGCCCATCTGGACAGACTCAGAATGGCTAATGAGCACTCTCTGAATCTGTCCTTCAGGATGTGTTTCTGTGGGAGGACAGTTTGGCTGTGTGGGTGAGTGGACACGTGGATATTCCATACTGTAGGTCTGTATGCAGAGTCAAGAAGGAGCTCACCAGGGCTGTTAGCTTCATTGCCTGTCCTTTGTCTCCTTATGGCACCTGGGCAAGAGTTGGGCAGCTTCAGATATCATAAACCCAAGGAAGCTAGAAAGTGCCCAGGGGTTCATCAGCCTGACCTATACCGTATAGCTTCCCATTAGCTTCCAGCCAGAGCTGTGTTGGCTACTTTGCTGAGCTGGAGGCGGAGATACTGGGGAGGCCAAGTGATGATGGAGCTGGAACAGGAACCAAAGAGTGGTAGGTGGGAGATGCCCTGTCTTTCAGCTACCGCTCCTTTGCTGTGGTTCAGACCATGATGGGGACTGGAGAATGGGACTGTGGGGACTTAGAGAAAGCACCAGGAGATCTCACCTAACTGCATAGTCCCCTTTCCTCAAGGTATGAATGGTTTGTGTCTCATGGTTGTTGGCTGCCTCTGTGAATAGTCAGACAATTCATGGAAATCAGTGTTGCCTCCTGGTCTGTCAGAGAACTGTTGGCCTTTATGGTAATCTGCTAAGTGTTAGATGTGTCTGGAGCACTGGCCTAGCTGCACTGGCCTCATGGAGGGTGAGTTTTTGTCACCTGATGGCAGATTGATGCATCTGCAAAGCCACCCAGGTCTCCTGCAGTCCTCACTGTTTGGAGAGAGGTTTTCCAAGAGGAGGGGTGGCTTCTGGGACAGGAGTTCTCTAAGTTTCTTAAGTGAAGTTCCTACTTCACTGGAACTCTCACTGAATCCAGCCTGCTGCTAACCCCTTTTAACTGGACATTGTCCCCATTCATGCCTGAGCAGATGGTGTTAACTAATGCAGCTACATTGCTTGTACTATCCCTTCCAGAGTGCATGGCCTTGAGTATCAGGCAGCCAAGGATCCAGAGTTCAAGTTTCATTTTTCCCAGGTTTTACAGAGCCAAGTAGTTGGGCTACCCAGTGGCAGATCTGGATGAAGTTGTAGTACAAATTCAAGGACCTTTGTATTTGAGAAAATGTCCCATGGACTTGCTATCATGTTGCACTGGAATTCAGCTTCCTCGCCCACGAATAAAATGTCTATATTCATCTTGGAAACACAGTTCTGAGATGTCCACAATACAGGGTCTCCAGCCAAGCCCCAACTTGCTTTACAGTGCTTCATCTGTGGCACTATCCCACTCCAGATGGGGCAGCACTGTGATCTGCTGTACAGACTCCCACAGAAGGGACAGGCAGTGTCTCCAGGCACAGGGAGGGGCCCCAAGAGTGTAGAGGAGGAGTCTCTCCAGCCATAAGCAAGGTACCTGCACTGTCAGGTCTCTTAAACACACCGTCTTTGTGCCACCTCCCTCCAGGTATTAGACGACACATAGTAACAGGGCTGTATACACTGTACTTCACTATGGGCTCTGGGCCTTGCCTGAGGAGGGACCACTGCAGCCACTTGTCATCTGTTGTGGGGTGTCTTCCTTAGGCACAGCTTGGCCTGCATTTCCACATGGGGGCTTCTGGCATTGATGTGCTGTGGTCATATCAGCTTTGCTGGGCTTCTATGAACAGCACCCTCTACAGTTTTCTTCTCAAAGCCACTGGGATGGGACAGCATGACCTACATTGCTGTAACACCCCCAAGGAAGCCTCCTCCTCAGGGAGGCCCCCAGAACAGGGCATTGAGATCATTGGCACTGGGCACTTGCTGACCTGGCATGCTGCCCGCCTGATGACTGTGACTTTTCCCCAAATCACTAATTCTGGTGTGCGTCCCTTCTCACTTTGGAGGCCTGGAGCTCCTTGTCTCTGCTATCCATCTGACACGTTCAAAGGAGTGGGAGGAGAATCAGTAGTTTTTAAACTGGATTATTTGCCCAATACATAAATGAATATATCTTAGATCTGTGCATTAATTCCTGGAGGGTTTTTGAGGCTCTTTAAGACCTGTGGATAGCTGCTATTCATTTAGCCAGTAAAGCTTACCTTTATATTCTGAATATACTTTATCACATAAGTAAAGCAAATAATCAAAAATGTGGGAAACAATTTATTAGTGTAGGTTTTAAAAGCCCATTTAGTGAAGCAAAGGTTGTAGCTCTGAGATTAAAGAGCCTGTATTCTTGTGATTTTTACCGTCACCAGCCCAGTGTGAAAATTCCATGTTCCCACTACCCCACTTGAGAAGCCTGTCCTACCACATCTCCCAGGCTCACTGTTCTGTCTTCTGTCTTGCTCTACCACATGTACTCCTCTGCTAAGAAAGAAGGCAAAGCCTCCACTCCACCTAGAACTGCCTGAGGACCCACAGGAACCATACAGCCGAGCCAGCCCATGCTTACTGGAGCACTGCCTATGACGGCTTCTGTGGGCCTTTGACTAGAACCCCAGTTCATAGACATGGCCGCTTGGAATGCCAAGCCCTTCCTCTCTTCACTTTTCCTCTCTGTGCTTGTTCTTCCTGGAAGGGCCTCAGATGCCTCAGTGTACATACCTGCAGACCAGCCGTTACCCAAGTGCTCTTAGGGATTCTGTACCTTTATTTCTGGCAGGTCACATCCAAGTGACTTCCATATTTCTGAAAGGCAGAGTAAAAAATGAGAAGAATGAGAAATCAAAAGAGCCACAGACAGACACAGTCATAAGTAGAAAGGTCTGCTGCTCAGAATACAGTATGCCCTGCAGGAAGGTGTGTGTCTTCTGGAAAATCAGTCCTGGGGCTGTGGGTGGGCTGGTGCCTGAGATACCCAACACATACAGGTATTTCATCTACAGGTGGCTTACCTCCTAAAATGAAAGTGGAGATGGATCATCAGTGCCTAGGCTTTTTGCTTTGTTTTCTTAGGCCACTGGGTCCCCCACCCAGAACAGAGCCCCCTCAGTTCTCCTGCCATCCTGGACAGGCGAGGAGATCCCAGTCTCGCAGGGAATAGGGCCCATTTGATAGCCCTGGCCCTTGGGGTCTCACGCCATCACACTGGCTGGCAAGATTCATCAGAGGTTAATTAAATCTATCTCCAAAACAATGAAAGGCCAATGAGCTAAGCCCAATCTCAGTAAATTAAATGCATTAAATGCAGCCATTGTTCATCCTGCAGGGAGGGCGGGCTCAGGCTCCGGGGTGCCTCCAGGAAGGGACCAGCCTCTAGGCTCTGGGGGCTCGTGGAGCACAGTAGAGACCTGCTTGTCACTTGCAGTGAGGGAGGAGTGTGGGGATGGGATGGGTGGCCTGTGAAAGAGGCTCTGTGTGCAGAGCTGTGAGGCATTGCTCCCAGGAAGAGCAGCTTCTTATGTTTCAAATGCAAATTAATGCAAACATGCTTGCAGAGCAGAACTGAAAAGATGATATTGTGATCAAATTTGGCACCGCTTAAGCCATAATTAAAACATACACAAATTAAACACGATTATCCTGCCGTGTACCAGGACCACGCGCCATTACTCTAATTAATAATGCAGTCTCCGGCACAGTCCTGCTGCTGGGATTGCTTGGAGGGTATGTTTTATGCCTTGCACAGTGGCAACTGGCAGCTGGGGTGTTCAGCTGGCCATGGTGACGCAGAGTGACAGCGGTGCCATCCGCGCCTGTCTCTGCATGGTCTGGGCTCACCACACCTGCTCTCCATCACCTCCCCATCAGTAGTGGTGATAGATGCATTTTTGGAAGCTGGTTGTCTTTGAAAACCCTGTTGCCAGTTGCTGACAGCTACACGCTCAGATGCCAGCTGTACCTGTTTTAGAACAGGGCCCAGTGAAGGCACCACGGTCTCAGCAGATGTGCCTTCCTCAACAGAGGGACTCCTGGGACACAGTGCAGAGTGGCACTGAGGTGGTCTCAGTGTTGGCTATGCCAGCTATGATGAGCGCTTGAGAGGATCCTCAGTGTCACAGCCACAATGTGATGAAGACCATTAAAACCGTAAGCCAGCTCAGCTCAGGCTGCCTGGTGTCCAGACATTACTAGTATCCAGGCGCTCCTGAAAGTCAGCCAGTGAGGTAATATTGCACCTTTTCATTACTTTTGATGACCCCACAGGATGACCCTTTCAGCCCCTTACACTAGCCAGTGAACTACCTGTGGTCATTGGGTCCTTGTTCGGCCAAACCCTCTGCTGTGCCCTGTGTGCACAGCCTACAAGTACTGTGAGCATGTTTCAGACCATAGCAAGAGGGACTGGGGCCTAGGTGTCAACCAGCATATCCCCAGGGGCTCAGTGAACAGGGGTAGCTGTGGCAGCCATGGCCACCCTGCTGTGTGTGTACAGCTATGTGAATTGAGTCCTGTTCCTCAGCATTTCAGTGATTGGCCTTGGCCTTACCCTGGTAAGCCTTAGCAGCCCTTTGTGATATGGAGCTTTGCCTGTATTATGGAGAGTGAAGAGTGAGCATTAAAACTTGGGCTTCATGTGACGTGGGCACTGCTGTGTCAGAGTCCAGTAGAGTTCCCATGAGCCCCTCAGGGTCTGCTTTACCTGGCTAGCAGCCCTTAGAATTCTATCTTAACTCAAGAGTGCAGGCAGATCTGCACTGCGGCGCTCACCAGCTCCTGTAACACTTTGCACACTTACCCCTGCAGTAAGTAAGTAAGTAGTAGCAGCCCTCCCACAGGGTCAAGTGGACATTTCATTCTACCTTTGCCTGCAGGAGACTGGGCATTCAGGTGGCAGGGAGCATAGGTCCTGGGGCCTCAAATAGGGTGTACACAAAGTACCATCCAATTTGAGGGCTTTAGAAAAGTAATGGCAGTAGCATAATTAATTCCTAATTAAAATTGTTGTATTTTTAATGACTTCAGAAGGAGACCTAGTTGGTCCATTTCTGAATAGGGGTGGTCATATCAGCTGTATTGAAGTAAATTATAACAACAGTTTGGATTTTATATTCAGAGTATTTACTTCTGCAAAGATCAATTTGCATACCTTAATTAGCCAGTGTTTTTCTATTCCAAGACCATATTAGAGGAGCTAGATCTTTGGACTCACTGCTCAAGGATTTGTCTGGCTGCATACTTACAGCCTGTCCCAGCTCTAAGAGTCTGAGGGGACTCTGCTCTGCTTTCTCTCCATCCTTCCCTGCCTCATGATCCTAGGGGACATCCTGAAGGGGTCCTGCTGCAGGTATACCTCCATCCACAATAGAGCATGATCCACAGGGGCAACACAGTCTTGTGAGACACTTCTGGGCCATGGATGTGGGTGCCTGCTACATGTGAGCCTCAGTTTGTGCCCATACTCCTATAAAAGTAGGTCCTGTCCTACCTTGGTGGGACAAACAAGTCATTCAAGCTCATTAGTGCCATGTCCATCTTTGTCCAGCTGCTGCAAGGCAAGCCATCTCAGGAGAGGAAATAACAGAGTCGTTATGATACTCTGTTTCATTTCATATGAACAGTTGACAGTGTCCAGCAAGGGGAAGGACAGAAAATGGGCCTCTGCGTCTGTTGATTGACAGTTCTCCAAACAGCATCCATGTCTGATGCACTTGTGGGCCGTGAACTTTGCACAGCAGATGTGAACTTAGCCCTTATGCCCCACCCTGTGACTACAGTGCTAGCTGGCCAGCAGGTGTTTCCTCTGCCATCATTGGTAGCTTCTTCTGATCTCCAAGATGGTGGGGCTCTTCACCTGGACCTCATTTGTTTGGATAGTCAGAGGAGATGAACTGGAGTGATGGATGGGGCCTGCCTGAAGGAAGCTCCAGTGGCCAGACCTGCTTTGCTCTCAGGCCTCCTGTGTCACATGAAGCCCCATTCCAAAAAGCTCAAGAAGTCATATAAAATCCTGCCCTCAGTTTTGCTGAGTCAGTCTGAACTTCTGGCCTCACAGAGGGTGGACTGGTCAGCCGCCACAGTCCTGTAGCCACCGATCTACAACCTGTTCTAAGTGAGGTGTACTGCTACGACTCCCTGCCCAGGGAAGCACATGTGAGCTAGTTAGGCTAGCTCCAGGACACTCAGGTTTTGGATCAGTGAGGATGTTTTATGTGCTGTGCCTTACTGGGCACCTGAGAGGCCGCAGATGTGACGTAGTGGCTGTAATGCTGGTGTGTGTATCTGTAGTTCCTATAGCCTGGCCACAGACAACTTCCCTATGGGACAAGGCACCCACTGACCCCCATCTAGACTTCAAGAGAGATGACAGACTGGAAGGGCTGGCCATCCAGAAGCTGTATGTGTCTATGTGCATGCTCAAGGTATGCAAGGTTGGCAGGGTGAATTCGGTACTGTTTGTATGTACTATTAAGTCACAAGTTTTTATCAGACACAATTAGACCTGATGTGGTATTATCCTTGCCAGCTCCATGGTGGCTTTTTGCCTCTATAAGGATGGCAGTGGCTTCTCCCCATGGTTTCCTGTGGATCCAGGACCCTGGTTTCCACCACAAAGGGCATAGAACAGCAGTCAAGATGAGCATCTCTTATGTGTGTGCTGACTGGGGTGCAGTTAATGTCAGGGAATTTGTCTAGATACTATTTTCATATGTTGAATACTTCCATCTTAGAGCTGTCACTTGAGTGACTTGCCAATTGGCCTTATTGTCCACTCCATGATATGATTTAAAATAATGTTCATAGACACCAGTTATCAAGGAATGGTTAGACAATGCTTATTTGTGTTTTAAAATTCAAGTGGCTATCATAGGACAGTGACAGACTGTGAGGGCTATCACGTTTTAACATTTAAATCCCTGGTGCCTGTTTCACAGTGACCTGCATTTAAACCTAAGGACTTCATCCACTGTTTTATTGGTGAGGCAAGTGTGTTCTGGATCCAAGATGTCTGGTTTGTGGGGGTTACAGTGTCTAAGCACCCTACATCAACAGCAGTAGTGGGGGCCTTTTTGTTAGCATCGCCAGGAAATATTCCAAGGAAAACATTCTGTTAATTCAACAGCATATTATGTAGTAGAACCCAAATTTATATTAATGTTCAGTATTCTAAGAGAACTATTTTTAATGTACATAATGATTATTCTCTGGGTCAGTTCTTCATTTTAGAGACATCAAAATGTGAGCTTAGTGGTAAGAATTGTCCTTTGATATGCTTCAAGGGACATCTGTGGGAACTGTCAGCATGGCTAGGAGCACTTGCTGGGAGTCCGTCCCTCCTTCAGTAGAGTCTTGGGCTGGCTGGGAGCTGACTGCACTCGGCCCCTTTCTGCTCTACTGTCATCTCTGCTGTGGGAAGGTTGCTCGAGGAGCTTCACTTCTATACATTTGCTTGACTGGAATTTAGCTAAAAGCCTTGGATGGGAAGAGAAAGATTGAACTAGGATGGGTGTCTTCTGCACTGTCCGTGACCACCATTCCAGTCAGGAGCCTGTCCTAGGCTCACATGCTCTTGTCAAGGTGCCGGCTATACATACAAGATGGGCCTCCTTGGCCCAAGCAGTTTCTTGCCACATACCAGCTGCTATCTGTCTGGCTGCCTAGACCAGGGCAGGCTCATCCCATGGACTTCAGTTGTCCAAGCCAGAAGGGGTTTACTTGTTCAGGAGACTTCAAAGCCCATCATACCCAGAAGTGTCCCAGAGTGAAAGCAGAGCCTTCATTGTTAGTGGCCTGTGTCCTGCTGGCTGTGTCCTCTGACCTGGTGGGCCCCTGTGCAGAGGCTGTGCAGTCAGAGAGAGTCACAGTCACCTGCAGAGCAGCAGAGGCTAGGAAGGCAGGTGATCTCTGCACAGCTCAGGTTTCATGGAGAAGCTTGTCCTCATGTCAGTGAGCATCTGCACATGTCCACCCGTGTGTGTCCCACAGCCATGAGTGTCACTATTTGTTAGTGACACTGATGGATTTGCGTGCTGATGAGATGGGATACAGCCACCATATTTGTAGCTGAATATGGATGCCGAAGGGGTCTTGTGAGTGATGGCATGTGTGGACAGAGTCAGAGGAGCCTCACTGGGCACAAGCACTTCTGTGTCCCTGCTTCCAGCCCCACTCTGTGCCAGTACCATGGAAGAGCAGTTGGCCCAGGGACTCGGACTTTCTTCAGAGTTCCTACCCCATTCACAGCACAGTGGGAGGTAGCACAGCCATTCTGTCCTCACTCCCAGCCTTACCCCTCTTAGTCTGGAATGCTGCCCCTCAGTAGCTAAATGGGGTTCAGTTGTTGTCTCAAACCAGAGTTTCTATATAAAGTTTTCCTGTCTTGAGTGATCACTGTTGTTGGAAGTCTTGGAGAGTGTAGATCAAATGTCACTAAACTGTAAAGCTATGAAGCAAAATTCATCTTGGAAAGAGAACAGACTGTGGTGTGGGACACACAGCTCAGATGGATGTGAGGGCCCAGTACAGCCCATCACTAAAACTTGCAATGTTGGTCTGGCCCCGTAGGGGTCCAATAACATGCTGCTGGGACTGCCTTCCCTCCTCACTACTGAAGACATTGTTTTAAGGCTCATTTCTTTTTAAAACATCAGCTTTCAGGCATTCCTAGGAACATCTGTGTGTGGCTGAAATGTGGCCGGCCACAGCCACCCCTCACTCCTTTGTCCCCAGGCCTTTGTTCCTGATTTCACACTATCAGAGGGTCTGCATGTTTTCTTGCATGAAGTTGTCAGAGGAATAATGGCTCAGGAACAGGGTCATGTTTAGAGGATGGGCATGAAAAATTGATAAGATGTATCTCTAAGCCCACCCACCAGCTGTTGCCCGAAACAAGCAAAGGCAGGCCCACATGAGGAGCAAGCACCCCACACTCTACCTGGAGTGGATCCATGCTGAGCTCCACTCCTTTCTCTAAGCAACCCCACTGCCCTCCTTCCCTTATCCTCCCACAGGCACATGCAAAGCTTGTGAGTGCCAGGTAGTCCACGTGCCCATGAGTCAGGCACCATTTTAAAGAGCAGGAGGCCACTTACCTACTTTCCATGTGCAGACAGACAGACCTCTGCTGGTTACAGTACAGAACCGGTCATCCCACCGCCGGACGCCTTTACCCACGGAGAAGCCTCTGGAACTTGGTGTGACCATCCTAGAGCCTTGGATGAGGATTGCAGGGAGCTAGCCTCAGGCTGCCAGCAGATAGAGGTCTCCACCACTGTGGGGACCAGAGCTGCCTGGTTTCTAGTGGCATAGACTGTGACTGAGTAGGGGGCAAAGCGGAAGTGCCCAACAAGGTTTTACTTAGGGGAAGCTGTCAGTCTTGGTCACCTGGTGCCCAGCTGGCTAGACGGGGGTTCCACAGAGGTAGAGATGTAGCTTTCCTGCCTGTGCTCCAGGCTGTCTCAACACAAAGTGCCAGTGAGGTGAGGTCTTAAACCACAGACAGCTGGGACTGCTCCTCCAGGAGAGTAGCCACACGAGTCTTGTGACTTAAAAGACCAGGGGATGTCACAGCTTCAAGGAGTCAGCTTGCTTTGCATTTTCAGTTTGAAGGTGGTTTTACCACTGAGGAGTTACTTGTTCTTTGTGTGACCCTCAAGTCTAGGAACCAGCCGGGTCAGGTCTGACTGCTGTGTCTCCTCCACCCTTGGCTTGGCAGCTTTGCTGGCTGGGCAGAGCAGCGAGGGAGCCCTAGAATCTCTGCTTCTGCTTGCTCATAGAGTATGCATTGAAGCACCTGGTCTCCTGGCTTCTGCAAATGGAGTTGCAGGCATGGTTCCCTTCAGGTTCCACTTGGGGAGGGAGGGATGCCTAATCCTCTTGGGGGTGGTTTAACTTCTATCTTGCCCTGGAATGGCTCCCCTTGCTGCCTGTGATGTCTGTTAGGGGGTGGTACTGCTTTGTAATTAACTCTTGACCCCCCTACTCCCACCCCACAAGCCCCCTTGAAGGAAAGAAAAAAAAAGTGAGGCCAAGAGGCTCTGGGTTTTTAAACAGACTGGGACATCTGGCCTCTGGTTTTCATCTGCTGACTAAAGTCAGGATTAAACCTTGCCCCCACAGCTTTGTGCAGCTACTGGTGAGTGACAGGCTACCTTAGACAATGGAGGCGTCAACCCCTCCCAGAGCACAGTCCTGGGCTGGACAATGGAGTGTTTGGTGGCTATGCAAGGTCCAGAGCTGTCCACCAGTCTGCCCATGTGCCCCCTGGGACAAATTCTAAGCGATGCTGTGCTCTAGCCAGAGGCCAGGCAAGCAGGCCCAGTGAGGAGTTGATGCTAGCTGTGTTCCCCCTCCCAGATATCCAGAGGCTTTTGGAGAACTGCAGGTGCTGATGCTGGCCAGCCTGTGCTTAAGCCCTTGCTGAGGACTCGGGCCTCTGTCCCCTCAAAGAGTTGCTCACCTGCCCTGGCAGGATCACTCCTGGGATGCCTTCTCCCTCTGCAAAGATGCCAGGGGAACCCTGGATGTCACCAAGGGATAGGTACCTATCCTTGGGGCATTCATCCATCTAACTACCAGCAGATATCCTGGTCTGAGTAACAAACAAGTATAATATAGCCATCGTGGAGTATGGTGACTCACGCCTTTAATCCCAGCGCTCAGGAGGCAGAGGCAGGTGGGCCTCTGTGAGTTTGAGACCAGCCTGGTCTACTGGAACCTCTGTGAGTTCCAGGACTATGTAGAGAGACCCTGTCTCAAAACAAATAAACAAGCAAAAACTTTTAATGGTCAGCATGCACTGGGCCTTCACAGGTTCATATGGGTTCCAGCATTGAGGGAGAAATTGGACATGAGCTCCTGTCCTTAACCAAGAAGCTATTTCCAATAGACAATCACTTGCAAAGGAAAATTAATTCTCTCCAGTGGAGTCTCACTGAGTGTATAGACCACACTCAAGGGTAGGCCTCAATCCCAGCACTATGTATTTTTGTAGATTTCTTTTTGTCTCGTATTGCTTTGTTTGATTATTTCTCTCACTGGTCTTTTGTTTAGATATTATGTTTTCCAATGTTATGTTTTCATGGGTGTTGCTTTTGTGTGTGTTTGTGTTTCTCGTTCCTTTTCATTGTTTTTTATTCTGATTTGTTTGCTTTTTAAATTTTCCTGTTTGTTTTCTAAAAAGAGAGAGAGAGAGAGAGAGAGAGAGAGAGAGAGAGAGAGAGAGAGAGAGAGAGAGAGAAGACATGGAGTTGGATGGGTCTGGAGGTAGAAAGGATCTGAGAGGAAATGGGGGAGGAAACCATGATCAGAATATATTGTATGAATCTGTATGAATCTTCAATAAAAAAAAGTAGGCCGGGCGGTGGTGGCACATGCCTTTAATCCCAGCACTGGGGAGGCAGAGCCAGACGGATCTCTGTGAGTTCGAGGCCAGCCTGGTCTACGAAGTGAGTTCCAGGAAAGGTGCAAAACTACACAGAGAAACCCTGTCTCAAAAAAACCAAAAAAAAAAAAAAAAAAGTAATAAAGCACCACGAAAGAATCTGGGGTCAGACCATGTCACTGTATAGAAATGGATATTCCTGGCCCCATTGTTTCTGGAGGCTTCTTCTGGGGTTCTGAATCCTGTTCCTGTGAGCCTAGTGCTCTCTCTCTCTCTCTCTCTCTCTCTCATTTTTATTTTTTTTTAATATCCTGACATCAGTTTCCTGTCCTCCTAGTTCCTCCCCCCCAACCTTTCCTCTGCCCACCCCACCCCCCATCCACTCCTCCATTTCTCTCCCAAAAAGGGCAGGCCTCCCATGGATATCAACAAAACATGGCACATCAAATTGCAATAAGACTAGACACCTCCCCTCATATGAAGGCTGGACAAGGCAACCCAGTATGAGGAAAAGGGTCCCAAAAACAGAGCCTGTCACTCTTGTCTGGGTGCTTCCTCTACAGCATTATTTATCACTTCCAGTGCTAGCCTGACATAAAGTGGCATGGCCAGAGTGCAGACGGATGCCTGGAGCGCCTTTAGACATCCAGGGCCCCTAAAGCTGGCTCCTCACCATGGAGAGTCCTTCAGCAGGATCTACTACAATATGGCATTCACTACTCCTGCCTTGGAGCTTAGGCCAGAAACCCAAGTTTTCTCTGAGGCTATATATCCTACAGCCCAAACCAGGTGCCCACAGAGTGGGGCATGGTTCCAGCTCAGATGAAGATTAAGATTCAGGAGGGTCTCATCAGCCCTTAGGGATGGGACAGTGGCAAAAGGCACTGCCCCATGCTCTACTGAGGAATGATTTTAATACAGGTGCATTTACTGTACTTCTGGGTGAATGAAATAGGCAATTTCGAGGCACATTTGGATTTTCTCTGCCTCTGAGGAGTGAGAAGAGCCCTGGGTCCCAGCTGCTGTGTATACCCTGTTTCTATTCTGGCCTCTCATGAGCCACAGGGATGGGCCCCACATCTGTGCTCCACCCTATGGCTCTATCCATCACCTCGCAATTTAGTGCTGGTCCATCTTCCTTCCATGCTATCTCTCGGCCGTGGCCACCCCCTTTCCATATTACTGCCCCCCCCTTAGCTCAGTTCCACTGTCTCAGCCTAAAGACAGGGTTCTCCTGTGACCCTCATTGCTTATGTAGCCACCACCAGCTCCCTCCTTCCCAAAGGCTCCTGCAGCCCCTCTCTGTACTCTAGACTCCTGCCTAGCCCTGGCCTGCCTTTGTTCAGGCTGGGGTTTCCTTCCAAGGACCCCCATCTGCTTTGCTCTAACCCCCTCTTATTTCTCCAAGAAGCCCATTAGTTACTTGCCTGACACCCGGCCAGTTTCAAGGGTGCTGGGACCACTTGGCTTCCTGAAAAACCCTATAGTCTGGTAAGTAGACCCATGCAGCATGTCCAGGTGATCGATGGACACAGAACTGCAGTACCCACTCCAGCCCTGGCACCGGAGGCCAATAGAGAATGACCGTGAAAGCTTGACCTAGGAGTCCCTGTCTGCCTAGCCCAGGGCTGTATGATCCTTTGGAAACCCAACCTGGTGAAGTCCACCATATGCCGTGGCAAGGTACAGAGGGAAACCTGCCCAGTGAAGGCAATTCTGGACTCTTTCAGCTGCTGACAAGCATGCACAAGATGCTTTTTAAAGAATGTTGTTGGCTTTGGAGGCTGGTGTGCTGGATACTGCAGAGAGGCTGCAGTGTGGCTTGGTTTGTGTTTTGTAGCTGGGGAACTGCTGGAGAACAGCCTAGCCAGATGCACTCACACTGAGCTTAGAGCTGCCTTGCCTGGATTCCATTGCTGATACAAAGGTTTTAATATCTCTTTATGTATTTCTACAATGTGCTTCAACCACTATTATCAACAGTAGCTCCAAAACTTACAAGGGTGCTTAAAACTTCCCCAGATCACCAAAGCAGATTCAAAAATGTCCAGAGGCCATGTGAAGGTTGTCCTGGGACTAAGAAGCCATCTCCTCATGGGACAGCTGCACTCTCCCCTTCCCCTATAAGGAGATAGTATGGGAAGGACCTTGAGTGGGCTGGAATCTGGTTATTCTGAGGTTGGAGGCCAGCTGACTGTTACTGTCTAGCCCAGATATACCTGTGTGTCAAAAAGCGCAGGTAAGGACCAATGAGATGGCTCAGTGGGTGGGGGTGCTTAGCCACTAAGGCTGATGACCTGAGTTCCATCCCAGGGACATAAGTGGTCGAAGAAGAGAACTGACAACTACAAATTGTTCTCTGGTCTCCATGTGCATGTGGTGACACACGCGCACACACACATGTCCACTCACATGTGCACACACACAAGTAAATGCCATTTTAAAGATTTTTTTTTTGCAGGGGAGGCAGAGGCAAGCAGAGCTCTGTGAGTTCAAGGCCAGGCCTGGTCTACATAGCCAGAGCAACATAATAGAGAGACTCTGTCTGGATGGATGGATAGATAGATAGATAGATAGATAGATAGATAGATAGATAGATAGGTAGGTAGGTAGGTAGGTAGATAGATAGATAGATAGATAGATAGATAGATAGAGATGTTTTTAAAGAAAGCACAGGTAAATTTTGCTTTTGTAGACAGACAGACTCTTTCACATTACATCTGAGAGGCTTGGTCTGCTGTCAGGGCCAACAGGCTATTTGCCTTTAATAGAGTTTTGATCTCTGTGAGTAGTGTTTGTGACAGCTGAGTAGAGGGAAGGTGAACAGATTTAGTTCCTGGGATGAGTTGGCCAATGCCTACCCTCACACAAGGGCATCTGATTACTGGGTAGCTTTGTGCAAATCTAATGAGCTGTAAAAATTGTGTGGTTTGATAGCACAAAAAACAGCTGTCTGCCGCTGTCATCAATGTCCTGGGCTTGGGGACGCCAGACTAGGCATCATGCTTTGGTAGCTGTCTAAGCAAGAAGAAACCAGGAAAGCAGGTGACCATCCTTGGCACATGGTGATCCTAGCATATTCCAGGAGACAAAACCCTTTGAGGGCTAAGCTAACCCTTCCAGTGCCCTGTGATGAAGCCATTGGTAGTAAAAATGGATCTTAGATGGCTTTTTAAAAATAGCATTTGGGGTATTTCTTCTCTTTTCAAAAGAGTTAAAATCCCTTCCTTAGGTTGAGCCGGAAAGGCTGGGCCTGGCAGCTTTCTGCATGAGTGGTCACGACTTCCCGGGTTTGAAAGGCCAAGAGAAGGCTGCTTTGCCTGCTCAGTCCTGATGGAGCCTTTACAACCTGTGAATGGAGAGGTTCCATGGGAAGGGATGTGGGAGAAAGGGGCGGGGTGGCTGGCTCTTGCACAGCTCTGCGGGACCTTCAAGATGTCGATCTTTTGGGAGCTGCCAGCTTGGTGAGATAAAGCAGGGTTTTTAACAGCTGAGGGCAGATGCCTTCAAGGAGACACAACCATGAATTTCCTGAACCATCTTGCAGTGGTCACAATGGCCCTCTGCCTGCCTGCCCCCACCCAGAGCCTTTCCCCCATTCATAGAAAGCAGCTTAAGCCACTTAAGCGCATTAGCATCAGGATGGGCCAAGACCTCCATGGGATGCAGGGGGCTGGGTGGCCTTGATGCCCCTGGTTGTTTGGGTACTTGTCCTAATCCTCCACAGTTCCAAGGCAGCCAGACTGATTTGTGACACAGAGTCCAAAAGCCACTTTGGGGCCTTGGCTGGGTTAGCTGATCTGTGCCCTGAATGTCAATGGCCTGGCCTGGAGTGTGTTTGGGGAGTGGAGGCCTGGGCTGGAATGCTGCACATAGGGCTGGCTCCACTCACCTTCGTCCCCATCCACCTTATAGGATGGGTACTGTGTTGGTCCAGCTGCCTAGGAGCACCTGGGATTGTTCCAATGGGTATCTGACACCTCGGTGGGCCCCAGGCAGGAATGAGGGTGCAGAGCCCTGAACTTAAGCGATTCTGCGTCTTCACAGCACAGACCTCCAAGGGCTCCTGCAATATTGAGACCTTAAAAGGTCAGATGCTTCTAGTAAGCTGGTTTCCTTATAAGTAAAACTCGTTCTCTTTGTTTAAAAATAAAAATACTTTGTTTACATATGGCTCAGTTGAGGACTGTCACTAGCCCCAAGTAGTTCCTCCTATAATCCCATTCCAGGTGACAGGCTCTTGCTTTCTCCTTGACTTGGCTGTTTATACATGTTTTGTGCAACTGTTCTCTTGGCCAAGAAAGTAGCCACTCCCTTCATCTTCGCCATCAAGGCAAGAGGCAGTTACTTAGAACCTCCATTTGTCTAAGAGGTGTTTCGCATTTGTCTCTAGGGATCTTGTGTTGCCTTATCACTTGTGTTGTAAGTGTCTTGTTCTCGCTCCAGCCCTCTGCAGTGTGTATTTGGGGCACAGGGGAGGGGGAAGGCTGTTGCTCCTAGTGGCTCCTGTGCCTGGGAGGGGGGCAGTCCCCAACTTTGTCCTGCCTTTGGGGAGTGGCCTCTTTGACCCCTTCCTGCATGTATTGAGGTTAATTCAAACAGGCATGAATTTAATTATCAACCATTGCTCTAGCTGGCTGCTTTTGGTCCAGGACCACCAAAGACAGCACAGCCAAGCATGCAACAAGAAGGCTGTGGTTCGCCGGGCGGTGGTGGCGCACGCCTTTAATCCCAGCACTTGGGAGGCAGAGCCAGGCGGATCTCTGTGAGTTCGAGGCCAGCCTGGGCTACCAAGTGAGTTCCAGGAAAGGCGCAAAGCTACACAGAGAAACCCTGTCTCGAAAAACCAAAAAAAAAAAAAAAAAAAAAAAAAAAATTTAAAAAAAAAAAAAAAAAAGAAGGCTGTGGTTGCTTCATAGCCACCATTCCTTTGGTGGAAAAGACAGCCTGAGCATTTGCTGATTTCATCAGGCTACTTGCCCCTCTTAGGTCCTTGTCACACCCGCACTCAGTTCTCCTGACTCCTGACCAGAGCCTAGGACTTATCTCCCGAGATTCTGACC